AGAAACTCTGCCTCGGGCTTCCTGTAGTCAGCCGCTGGTCAGTTTCAGCAGCGGCTGAATCTCGACGCCAGTTCCGACTTAAGTACAAATTCGACTTAAGTACAAACCTACAGTCCCTATCGTGTACGTAACCCGGGGACTGCCCGTACTGCAATGGTAAATGAGGCTTTTATCAAAACTATGTTAAGCAGACTTCCTCTATAATCCATTTACCTTTATTAGTAGAGAGCCAAAGAGTAAATGATAGATAATCTTTACATGCATGTTTACATGCATCTTATTAGAAATCTAACAATGTATACATTATAGAAGCTAAATCTAAATAGGGTCAGACTCTCCACTCAGATATGAAAGTAGCTCCCAATTGGGCCATTGCAGGATTTGCTTGTAAATTTAGCATGTACAAGTTATGCAGTGGGGCTGAGGATGCAGAGTTTGGGATATAGGAAAGGGCTCCAGGTTGGGGCAGAGAATTGGGGTGCAGGAGACATCTGTTGGGAGACCACTACGGCAGCACACAGACAATCCAGGAAATTTTTGGAAAATGTTGGGGTTAACTTCTTGGTACAAAAACTGAAGGATTCAACCAGGGGCCATGCGCAGCTTGACCGGCTGCTCACAAACAAGGACGAACTAATAGGGGAAGTAGAGGTGGGTGACAACCTGGGAAGCAGTGATCATGAGATGGTAGATTTCAGGATCCTGACTGAAGGAAGAAAAGAGAATAGTAAAATACACACCTTGGACTTCAGAAAAGCAGACTTCGACTCCCTCAAAGACCTGATGGGCAGAATCCCCTGGGATGCTAACATGAAGGGGAAAGGAGCCCAGGAGAGCTGGCAGTATTTTGAAGAAGCCTTATTGAAGGCACAGAAAGAAACTATTCCAATGCATAGCAAGAGAAGCAAATATAGTAGGAGACTGGATTGGCTTACTGGGGAATTTTTTGGTGAACTTAAGCACAAAAAGGGAGCTTACTAAAAGTGGAAACTTGGATAGATGACATGGGAGGGATATAAATGTATAGCTCGCGAATGCAGGGGAGTTATTAGGAAGGTGAAAGCGCAATTGAAATTGTGAATTGCAAGAGATATGAAGGATAACAAGAAAGATTTCTACAGGCATGTTCGCAAGAAGAAAGTGATCAGAGAGGGTGTGGGGCCCCTACTGGATGAGGAAAGCTGATGATGTGAGGAAAGCTGAATTACTCAATGCTTTCTTTGCCTCTATTTTCACAGAGGAGGTCAGCTCCCAGACTAATGTGCTAAGTGACACAATATGGGACGAAGGTGGACAGCCCTTCGTGGGGAAAAAGGAAGTTACTCAACTTGTGCAGTAACGATTGTTCTTCGAGATGCGTGTCCCGTGGGTGCTCCACTGTAGGTGTCGGGCTTGT